AACATATTGGACTGAGAAAAAAGTGAACTGTCCAAGAAGAATTATTGTTAGATACGTGTATTGAATTAATTCTTTCTTCTCATATTCTCTCTGTCCTCAGTTTTGAGATGTTTGGGCATTCCCACTCGTCCAGTCTCAAACTTCAATTCTGCTCATGACACTGATATTTCATTGACAACTGATGTTTATTTAGATGAGAAATTTGAGCCGATTGAGCATCTAAACCGTTATCCAGTCTGGTAAGATCACATGGCATCATGATTGCATTATGCAATGATTGTTGTACGTATTTCTTTATCTCTTCAACTTTCTTGGTTGATTCTCCTCTTAATGCAGGAACTACCACGTGTGGAATGAGGCCTGGATGACTCGGTCAGACCTGCCATCTGGTTTCGGAGGTTGGCAGGTGGTTGATTCCACTCCTCAACTGACCAGCCAGGACAATCTTCGCTGCAGCCCTATTTCTGTTGCTGCGATCCGCAGTGGGCAGGTTCAGCATGACGCGCCCTTGCTCTTTGCCGGAGTATGTTAATGCCTTACATCATTCCGTCACACATGGTTTGATGTTACATGTTTCAGGAAATACATCATATACTGTCTGAATTACAACATAATTATAGTTAATTCATACTGAAAATCTTCAAATATAGGAACAGAATTAGAACGTAAATGGACAGACGCACAACTTGCGGTTGTGTACTTAAGTTTTGGATCTTTATGTTGTAGGTGAACAGCGATAAAGTCTATTGGCAGTGTAAAGTGAATGAAAACTTCGCTGTAATTCAGGTTGAGAAGAACGCAGTAGGTCACTGCATCAGCACCAAGGCTGTTGGCTCAGATCAACGCGTAGACATAACACACCTCTACAAACACCCAGAAGGTGAAAACCTACACATGTACGTCACAGAAACACATCACTGCAGTGTGAGCTGTACATATAGAAAATACCAGTATGTATAGGTCCATAATGATTTACACTCCAGTCACTAAAGCCAAACGTCTTGGTTTCTGTATTAGGTTTGACTGATTAGCATGCAGAATTAGCGCCTGCTGGTAGATATCATAACCACACCATTCTATGGGGGAAAAGCATCTTTCTCTATTGACGGCCATTCAAATGTAGCAATGCATTCTGATAAAATACAAAATTCAATATGTTATTATATAAAATCAAGCATTTGATATTATTATATTATTACCGTGGTCTGGTTAGTTGGTTTTCTGACAGGCTAGTTCTGTCACAGTGGCAGATGTGATTTTAGTAATTTTTGGAAGTAGGGATGTTTTATGCATGGTATCCAAAAACAACACATTTAATATTCATGAGTTTAATTATTTATTATTTTATCCCATTCATCAGGTTCAGACGGGGCGCGAATTGCTGTAGAAACAGCCTGTCGCAATGGCTCCAAACAGTCCGTATACCCGCTGTCCAACACTGAGGATGTGATCATTGAAGTCAATATGAAGGGTGACGGACCATGTGTTGGTCAGGATGTCGTGCTTTCCATCATCCTGAAGAACAAGTGCAGGTCTCCTCGTAGCCTCACTCTGTACAGCCAGGTGGCAGCCATGTACTACACCGGAGCCCAAAAAGCCTTGGTGAAAAAGGACCAGACACTCATTGAGCTCAAGTCATATGAGGGTGAGACATGTTGGAAGCTTGAAATCATAATTTTGAGAAGACTCCACAGTTACATCTAAAATAGATATATTCAGTACACTGAGTGTATATTGAATACATTATTGTACTTGAAGAATTAATTTGGTGAAGTTGTTCCAAGCAATCCACCAGACCTAGCACAGTATTTCATGCTGTTTTGGCTTAAAATACAAATTTAGACTTTCAGGAAATACTTTAAAGCCAACATCAATGTTTATCTTGACAAAATTGCATTTTCTAGTTTTTTATGCCTTTGGTACAAACCATAGTCAAACCAGTCCTACCAAATTTTTACTTTAGCATTACATTCTCATTACAGAGTTGACATACAACATATCAACTGTGAAGACGAAATAACGACAAAGTATCAAATAATCAACGAGGATGATTATTAATTTTAAAGGTAGATTTGCTATAAAAGCATTGTTTTCCTCTGTAGTCCAGATTCTGGAGTGGATCTTGCGGTATGAAGACTACAAGGAACACCTGGTGGATCAAGCAGCGCTGATGCTCGCCCTCTCTGGACGGGTTTTGGAGACTACGCAGATACTGACCACCCAGTTCAACTTCAGATTGCGCACACCGGATCTTATTATCATTGTGAGTTTTCTTTATTATGAACTCTTCATATGCGCATCTGCCAGTGTTTGCATTCAAGTTAGATTTCACACAACTAATTTCTTATATGAAGCATCAAAATTTGCAGACTAGTGCCTGATTGTCTTTCTTTTCAGCCTCTTTGTGGCGGTGTAGTGGGCAAAGAGATGACATTCAAAATCAAATTCCAGAACCCACTTCCCTGTGTACTGAAGAATGTCGTTTTCCGGTTTGAAGGACTGGGATTGCAGTATGTCAGAACAATTAACTATGGGTAAGACACACGAGTGTTACATTCATTTACACCACCTGAAATAAATTACAGTTGAGTGATGAGTAAAATTAATACAAATGGAATATGCACATACTAATTTTGTCTCTCTGTCACTTCAGTGATATTCCAAGTCTGGCTGCAGTGAACCTGACGGAGACCTTTGTTCCTAAATATCATGGGCCACATAAACTTCTGGCATCTCTCGACTGTCCTCAGCTCACTCAGGTGCATGGATTCACCAACATTGATATTCATGAAAAGATTTAGACTTGATACTTGAAACTTTATATTTGCCAGAGTAACTATGGAACCATTATGTTTATGGTTAGAAGCTGTTTATGTTAGAAATCACATCTCATACAGTGTAAGTATTTTGAAGGACCTACAGTTTATTTGTGGATTACAATAAAAATAACCAAATATATAAAATATTGAATGAATCTTGTCTTAGATGTCACACTTTATCACATGCCAGATTATTAAGCTGTATTATTTGAAGCTTTGTGTTTAATATTTGTGTCAACTTCTTAATTTATAATCATTGTAGTTAATGTCAGTTATTATGATGTGTTATTATAAGCATTATTGTCTTCCCTCCAATAATGGCAAGTGTTTTAATAATGATTGAAAAATCAGTACTTATATAATGCTTGACTATAATATGGTTTTCTTGCATAGATATTAAACACTAAAACAACATTATATAGCAACCTGTCTACCTGACGGGACAAAAATGAAAACAAAATGTGTAAGAATAATTGTGTATTAGATAAATAACCTGTATTTCACATCCAATAGTTAGGCTACATACACTTTACTTGAAGACTCAAAAACAAATAAACATTGTAGTGTACAGATAACATTGTCTAAATGGCAATGGTCTTGTGATGTGCTGGATGCTTCTAGTGTAGGTTGGCTGTCAATAGCTTTATAGACTCACTTCCCAATCACACTATTCAGCATTGGGTTTTCACAATAAATAAAAAATAATTAAGATTGCAGCTTCAGATGCTGTGAATCTGAAAATGCTGTGTAATAACAGCTTGATTGGTTATAAGGGGTGTATTTGTGAGAGTCCACGAGTGACAGGTTCAGTGATTATAACGGGAGTATTATAGTATTGTCAAGTGTATTTACTTTTAATAAAATAATTCATAAACAGTTCCCAGCATGTTTTGGATATAAAGAGTATGAGATACAGTTGTACCACACAAAACACATATTAAAGGGGACATCGGATGCCCATTTTCCACAAGTTGCTGTGATTCTTTAGGGTCTTCATGAAATGTCTGTAACATACTTTGGTTAAAATTCCTCAATGGTCGTGTAAAACAACACCCTTTTTACCTTGTCAAAAACAGCTCTGTTAAAAGCGACTCATTTCGGTGCATGTCTCTTTAAATGATAATGAGCTACTGCTCGCCCCACCCCTCCCCTCCGTGGGGCGTGTCGACACAGGCATGTGAATATATCTGTATATGACTCGGAGGTGGTCTTATTCAAATAACTAGCTATCTACATAGGAACCTGCTGCAAATTTAAACAACTCACTGGATGACACAGTTTCAGATACACACAGTACATAACAAACTGCCAGTGTTTTCTTTTCAGTTTTCTGAGCAGGCAGACATGCCAGAAATCTAACTAAACGCAAAAAAGCTAAAAAAGTGAAAATTTCATCCAATGTCCCCTTTAATGTGAATTATATAAACTGCAATGTATAGTCCTGATTACAATATTGAGGTTAAAAATATTTTACCAATAATCTGTAGCCCTATAAACTACGTAATGTGTTTGACCACCATGTAGAAAAGCTTGTTAGTACTTTTGGGCTTTTTTATGCCTTTATTTGGACAGGACAGTATAGAGTTGAAAGCACTGGGTGGAGAGAGGGGGTGGGATTGGCAAAGGACCATGAGGCAGGATTCAAACTCGGGTCACTGCGAGTGCAGTTGCACTGTATGTCGGCGCATTAACCACGAGGCTATTGGCGTGGTTACTGAAAATACTGAAACACAAATATGTCAAAATGAATGTCTTTGGCGAGTATTCACATAACAATGTTTGGTCATGTCTTAATAAGATGAAAAACAGGATGCCTGTCAGTATATTAGATCCTTCAGTTAGGTCTTAAAGTAATAGCAGCCTAATATACCTGCTGCTGTCTGTGTCATTAATGTTAATCAAACAACAAAAGAAAAGTAAAAAAAAAATAAATCACCCTTGACCAAATCATTTTTGTAGCTTTAATAAAAATTAATTTATATTTTTATTCATACAGTGTTGTATTTTACACTTGATTTACATAATTTGTATTTTTGTTCTTTTGTATATATTAGTTCTGTTTCTATATGTATTTTGTTTCGATTTGACCTATTTACTATTCCTCAATATTAGTTGCATATATTTTTACTCAATATTATTTGTATATTAGTTGTTGGGCTTACTGGTTTTTACTGCTCGGTAATGCTGGGTACACACCACAAGATAATCGGGCTGATTTTGGGCTGATTTCTCCCTTTCCGACAATCCTAGGTAATGTCCCGATTATCTTGGTGGTTCTAAAGATTATCTTATCAGATTTTCCTGTGGTGTGAGGTGTGTTAAGAGTGACTGAATCTGCTCAGAAGAACGTCGGAGGCGCAAACATGTTGAATATTTGCAATCCGAAATCCTGATGTGTGGGGGGAACATCGCGGCACACCACACACTATAGAAACAAAACGGTTGGATTTTTTGTCCTCATGTTTGTGGTCTCTCACATTTTGAAGATCTTATAAGATTTTAAAAATCTTTTAATGTGTACCCAGCATAACTTGCAAAATAGTCCTAAAAAACAAAAAAGCAAAAGAGTCATAATGAGAATGTGGATCAGGATCCTTCTTGAAAAAAATAGTGGTACAAATTTTTGCCATATCACCCACCCCTACTCTGTTGGGCCTAAAAGGTGTCCTTTAAAAAAACAAACAAAAAAAAAACATTCAAAGTCATGTACACTATCATGAGTTGTCACTTGAGTATATGGAGGAGGTCGCCTATCATTTCTGGCTATGCTTTGTACCATTTATGTGCGACATACATGAATGATATTTCAAATTGTGTACGCATAAGAGATGACTTTAAATTGTGAAAAACAGAAGAAAAAAAAAAACCTTAGCAAATACAGCAATGCCCTGGCAATCTTTCTAGAATAATGGTAACTTTTGCATGGACAAGCATGACTCACATTTTCTTCAGATAGATACAAATCTTGTTTAGTATAAATGTTCTCTTATATATTCACATAACACCTGTTTATACCATTATAACGATATCATCACAAGACAAAATGATGCTTAATACATGTCATTTTAAAACTAGCACTGACATGTCTTGTCAAAATTTAAAAAGCTATGTTATTATAATACTTATATGCAGAACGTGGTGATTTAGTGCCTCTAGTTAAACAAGTTATTGTGTTAGTGATATCTTTTGTTCAACATGTAAGTCATTAGCAGTTTTACCACAGGCCTGAATCATTCACATTCCTGCACATTCCATATTCATTTCTTGTTCCTGTGCAGGCAAAGAAACGAGTGTTAGGACTGGTGGAATGATGATTACAGTGTGCCTGACTGGCTGATAGAATGTTTTCTGACTTAACAAAAATTCCTGATGTATTACTATAGCTTACACAATTTATAAATGACCTTGCAATGATGTTATAATTCATATAAATAATTACATTAAAGCACAAGAGTGATGTATTTAAAAATAGCTCTATTTATACCAGTGTATGTGGTACCATTATAGATACCATTATATTTTTTTGTATACTATTTTTTATAATGTTTTTTGTTTTCATTTTAATTTTAGTTAAAGGTTTAGTACATTTGTTGTGTTTTTATTATTTTAATTTTTATTTGTTTTAGTTACTTTAGTACATCAAGAGAAATGTTACCCTAACAACTAGCTGTTTTTTTTTTGGTTTTAGTTTTAGTTAATTATAATTTATACACAGTTTTTACAGTGTGATTAGATCGTTTTATTTTCATGGTCATTATTACAGTGTTTTTAGGTAGGGCTATACAAACCTCAAGGAGACAACATACAGCTGTATGTTTATTTTAATACAATTATTTGTTTATATATCTTTCCACAGACCCCCAGCAGAACTTTCACAGACTTGTATGGGGTCTAAACTAACTGATGTATGCAACCAGTTTTGCTCTTGTCATTCAGTAATGCGGATTGTAAAAATAATTATAAAAAAATCACCAGAAGCACAAACCTGCAAATGTTTATTTTGGTTAATGTGTGTTTAAGGCTCAGTATTAGTCATTTGTTTCATTACCTTAAATAAACGCCCTGCTCCTCATTACAGAATTCCTTACTGACAGCTCTGCTTATCAGCTGAGGATTTAATGAGATGTTAATGTCTTGTTAATGAGGTGGTTCAGGAGTTCAAATGCAATGATTATTCTATGCTGTTGTCATTACTCCTCCTTACAAATGTGACCAACCTTAATTTAAGTCACACTGTAAAGATTGCCATATTTAAACAAGGTGTTAAAAATACCTTGTGAGATTCATCCTAAACACTAAACTCTCTGTCATGATACATGAGATTCTTCACACTTTTGAGCTCTGAGCTGTGGATGGGGTGGAGATGAAAATGTGAATATATACACCATGGCTACTCAAGAGAGAAGCATCATAGAATTGCTTCCAGACTTGAGTTCAAGTCGTTTTGGTGCAGTTACTCTGTTAACAAACAGGAACAAACACTCTTCAGATACATTCAGGAACAAGAACTGCAAACATGTAAGTATCTATCTATCTATCTATCTATCTATCTGATCACCAAAAATTCACCTATTTCAATTCAAGTGTTTTCAACTGCAATTACTGCAAAACAAATGACTGTAAGTGACCCTAAAGGGTGAAACTACAGCATACACTCAGTCATATGGTATAGTATCTTGCATTGCTGTTTAAGTAACTGAATGTTAAAAGTAGGCTACTAAACAGAAAGAAGATTATAGTGTTGTTATTCAGTGATCAAACCAAATGTTCTCATTACATGTTACAAAAATCGTGTTTTGAATGAATGATTATGTGGACTGAAAATATATGGAACTGTAATGAAAGCATGAGATCTGATATTGAAAGATTGACTAGCAGTGTTACAAGTGTGCTCAGTTTGGATTTTGAGTTTTGAAAACGTACATCTTTGATGTGAAAACTGCACTTAAATTAATAATAAAAAAAAACGGTAAACTATGTTTAGTAGAAAGTTTCAATAATATTCTCTCTTTTTCTCTCAGGAATCCACATGTAGAAGTTAACGGTAAGAGCAATACATCTCAATAGTACATATTAACAAGGTCTGATCGCCATTATTTAACGCTGACAAAGCTGATATACTGTTATTGTAGTATTGTAAAATAAGTTAGTACTGTTATAAAAAACAACAAAATATTTGAACTGTATCTACATCCACCAACCGACAGTCCTTCAGTCTGTTCTGAATTGTGATGTTTTTATCTTTCACAATGGTTGCACTCTATCTCACTCTGTCTTTTTAAATACATTTAAATGCATTCTAGGAAACATCTGATCAGGGGCACATGAACCCCGAAACCAGCATAGAGACTGATTTGTCAACACTTAATGCCTAAATTAGCTTGAAACCTTAATGTTTTTTTTTTTTCAGTTTGTCTTAATAAACTTTCCTTATATGGCTGATTTTTAGGTGCTGTACTGCAGGTACGTTCTATTGATCTGATCAGGGCCAGGAAAGGACAGAATCGACAGGAGCATCACACAGATGGTTTCTTTAGCAATCATCTGATTGTCCGTAGAGGACAGTGTTTCCAGATGTCTGTTGAGCTCTCTCGACCCTTTGTTCCAAACAGAGACCAACTTCACCTGGAGCTGAGACTTGGTCAGTCATGGCTTTACTGTCCTTGATGTTGTGATCTTGTTCTCCAGCACGATCCTGTTTACACCTGCCACACCAGCCATCTCTGATTATCTGATGAAAAATGTACATGCTTTTGTATGTGTGTTTTGCAGGAAATGTCTTACCAGTACACAAGGACAGTTTTGTGATTGTACCACTGGTGTCGGAATTCAGGAAAGAAGCCTGGGAGGCAAAAATCGTTGAACAGGCAAAAACCACAATCAGACTGGCGGTTTATTCCCTTCCAACCTCTTGTATTGGACGGTACAAACTCAATGTAGTAACAAACTGCCTAGCGGGAAAGGCCACTTCACCAGACACTCCTGAAAATGACATTTACGTGCTGTTCAACCCTTGGTGCAAAGGTATTATCTGAAAAGAGAGAAAATAAGAGGACACTCTGGGTGTCTTATCACTGAATAATGAAAATAAAATGCAAGCTTTCTCTCTTTCTGCTCTCATCAGATGACTCTGTGTGCATGAATGATGAGACGGAGAGAATTGAGTATGTACTGAATGATATGGGCAAACTCTACTATGGAACTGAGCAACAGATTGGTACCAGAACTTGGAATTTTGGACAGGTAAAATTTCAAACACAGAAGTGTGTTTAAATGTATCCAATAGTTGTTTTAATATTTTAGTAAAATGTATGCTTCCTGATATCGGTCGGTTATTTTTTGAGAATTCTCATCATTATTCTGGGAATGTTCATCATGTGTTTGATTCCCAGAGAATGCACGAACTGCTGAAATGTAAGCTGCTTTGAATAAATGTGTAAATGTTAATCAGTCATTTAACAGTGGATCAATACAAGACACGACTTGTCAGCTGATTATTGATGTAATGTTGAAACATGGTTGCAAAAAGGTTCTCAGACTTTAGAGGTAAAGAGAACATTGTCCAAAACCAACATGCGCAATGTTCTGAGATTCAAAAATATATTCCTAGATCATTCTGGGAATCGAAACTTGTCAATTAGGATTTATTTTTAATTTTCTGTATGTGCTTGTTTCAATCTTTCCAACTTCTGATCTGTGATTCTTAGTTTGATGAAGGAGTCTTGGCTGCGTGTTTCTTTGTGTTGGAGAAGAGTGGCAGCCCTTGCTCAGGATGGGGAGATCCTGTTAATGTAGTCAGAGTGGTATCTGCCATGGTGAGACTTTATGCTTTTTTTACCTGCATCCAGATGTATCCATGCTCTGCTGTTGTGAATGTCTGACAAAGTTTGAAAATTAGTCATCGTGATGATGTGAAGCAGATGACAAAATATTGTCAATGTTTCAGGTTAATTCCAACGATGATCAAGGAGTGCTGATGGGTAACTGGAAAACGACCTGTGAGGGGGGAGTTTCTCCTACAGTTTGGAGCGGCAGCAGTGCCATCTTGAAACAGTACCACAGCAGTGGAGGAGTAACTGTCAAATATGGGCAGTGCTGGGTCTTTGCTGGAGTCACCAACACAAGTAAGATACTGAGTATTATTAAAAGTTCATTTCCCCCACATAATATTTAAATTAGCGCTTGCACAATTAATAGTAAAAAATCGTGATTATGACTACAGCAGCTGCGAATAGAGAAAAGCCGCAGAAGTAGCATAAGCTGTTTTATTTAAATGTGTGAGATTTCCGGTTCATTAGCCGCTGTAGGGAAATAACGAGAAGAATAACAAAGTAAACAGTTAAACTGTTTGCACTACAAGCCAATGTGTTCATAATAATTAAGATAATATGGTAAGACACACCAGTTTGCAATATCAAGCAGCAAACGGATGACACCGGAAGCCACACGCATTAAATTTAAAAATTCCCGCGCACGTTCTTAAAGGTGAGGTCTAATGCTATTTCATGCATGTTGAGTTATTTTGAGCAATCGGGCAAGTGCTCGTCACTCTTTAGCTCCACCCACGGCACACCTCCAGGAGCTCGGCACGCCTCCAGGAGAGAATCGAAAAGCTGTATTTTTCCTTTATAAATATGATAAAACTAAAGACTCTTTGGAGCTATGAACGATGCTATACTACTCTATAGGTACTCAAGATTAACATGAGATTGGGTGAAACTGTGTGTGTTATGTCCCCTTTAAGCGAAAAATAAGGTGGATATCGGAGTTTAATAAATTTTGCCCACCGCGCACTCAGTGCGTTCTACTTTCGTAAATACCCCTGTTATAATGAATAAACTAGACACGACGTAAATCAGATATTCATTGTAGAACGCTTCATTAGTAGGATTTTTTTCGTGATATATTGAAGTGAAATCCAAGTCTTTGCTTGCGGTATCAGGCTAGACGGAGTTTAATAAATTTTGCCCACCGCGCACTCAGTGCGTTCTACTTTCGTAAATACCCGTTATAATGAATAAACTAGACACGACGTAAATCAGATATTCATTGTAGAATGCTTCATTAGTAGGATTTTTTTCGTGATATATTGAAGTGAAATCCAAGGGTTTCTTTGCGGTATCAGGCTAGAGCGAATTCTGTTCACAAACGAGATTACACTTGTCTTTTCTATGCGTATGGACATCTAGATGGCATTTTTATGCCAAATGGAAGTGGGACCAGAGAGGTTGGGAATGAAATCTGCCGCATTTTGTTGATGTTTCTCTCTTTTTGTCCTCTCAGTGTTGCGGTGTTTCGGCATTCCCACTCGTCCAGTCTCAAACTTCAGTTCTGCTCACGACACTGACGCTTCCTTGACTACAGATGTTTATTTAGACGAGAATTTTGAAGAGATTAAACACCTTACCCGTGATTCAGTCTGGTAAGAGTCTTGACAGTGTTATTTTACTATCACTCAGATTCTATTTTAGCTTATCAATATAAAGAATTAGTTTTATATTTTCTGTCATTTTCATTTTGAAGTTTCAGTCATTTTGTTGTGTTTTGTCATTTTTATTCGTTTTTATTATTTTTCTGTTCATTTTAGTTATTACATCAAATTAAACAGCATGGATGTAAGAAAAGTTGCCATCTAGTTTAAATAAAATATATAGGCTATATTTTTTATCTTGTATATAAAATAGAATAGCCTATTCATCATGGTAAAAATGCATATTATTTTTATATAGTATAGGCCTATTAAGCATACTTAATGTGAATGTATGTTTAATGTTTTATGTAGAAAACCAACAAATAAAATTACCAGCATTTTGCATGGTTTGTTTGCATAAACATTGATATAAAACCTTTAAAAATGATGGCCAGATTTTAAACTAACAAAAACCTGTTATCTACTGACATGTACTACATGTTTTTTTTATGTCAGTTCATTTTTACTTTATTTCAAGTAACAAAAATATTTTTGATATTTTTTTTTAGTGAATAATTTAGTTTTAGGTTATAACCCTGATTCATGTAACATTAGCGTTAATTGTCCTTTTTCTATAATATGGAAGTGCAGGACACTTCAGGAAGCATTTGTGATATCAGATAAGTTGTGGCTTCATTGTCGTTGTAATAATTTTTGTTTAATATTCAAAGTTTCTGCTTTTCTCTATGTAGGAACTACCACGTGTGGAATGAGGCCTGGATGACTCGGTCAGACCTGCCATCTGGTTTCGGAGGTTGGCAGGTGGTTGATTCCACTCCTCAGGAAACCAGCCAGGGCTTCTTCCGCTGCGGCCCCACCTCTGTTGCTGCGATCCGCAGCGGACAGGTCTACCTCAAATATGACACACCCTTTGTTTTTGCTGAAGTATGCTAATTCATCACAAATAATTTCACTACATAGATTTATAGATTTATAATATGGTAGGTGTTAGTACTAAATATTTGGTTCTTTTTATTTGTAGGTGAACAGCGATAAAGTCTACTGGCAGCGCAGAAATAACGGGACCTTCGCTGTGATTCGGGTTGACAAGAGTGCTGTAGGTCACTCCATCAGCACCAAAGCTGTCAGCTCAGATGAACGTGTAGACATTACGCACCTCTACAAATATGCAGAAGGTGAAAATCCTCATGAAATCTTGTGTCAGTTAAGATATTTTCACTTACACATGACAGAAACATTTACATACTTTTGAAAAGCTTCATTTAAAAAAATACAGATTATTTTGAATGTAAATAATTACTGGTTAAAATTTTACTGGCATTGTCACTTGAAGACTATATATATATATATATATATATATATATCATTTTTTATTTTATTTTATTTTTATTTTTTTCTCCCAATATTAATATAATAGCAAGATGCATTTGTGGGAGGTTTAATCTAAATACCAAGGAGCTGGTATCCAAATATATAAACCACACATTAAGCTTTTATTTTATTATTTATTTTATTTTATTTTACTTTTTATTTGAAGTCTTTCAATGTCAAGTTTATTTATATAGGACTATTAAAATCCAACAATATGCTGTACATCAAAATTTAAAACATACAAACCTAACGGCAGTGTTAATTTTGACAGCAAATTTTGATTTAGTTTTAGTCATAGTCTTTTGACTAAAATGCCATTTAGTTTTAGTCATATTTTAGTCATCTGAATTGTTTTTAGTTTTAGTCTAGTTTTAGTCGACTAAATATCATAAGATTTTAGTCGACTAAATCTACAGTAAATTTCGATTTAACTGCTGTGACACACAACATGCCTTTATGTTAAAATTAAATAAAACCACTTCTCATAAAGAACAACATGAAGTCTTGAAGACATGTCATGTCTTCTTTTTAATGAAATACCAATGGTTATATAGGCTAATTATGCATTCTTTATAGCAACTTGTTTACCATATTCTTCATTCTTTCAAGCAGACATATTTATTTCTATAAATAAATTTAGATGAATCTTTATTTTATTTTATTTTATTTTATCTCAGTGTCAAATGTATTTATATAGCACAATTAAAAAACAAATGTTCTGTACATCAAAACATCCAAAACAATAGTAACATTTTTGGTCAGGTTCGGAGGAGGAGCGCACCGCTGTGGAAACAGCCTGTAGATACGGCTCCAAGCGATCCACCTACTCTCCCGACGGTGACAGCGATGTGACGCTTGATATTGCTATGGAGGGTAAAGGACCATGTGTTGGTCAGGATGCTGTTCTGTCCATCGTTCTGAAGAACAACAGCAGCTCACCTCGCAGTGTCCATCTCTACAGCCAGGTGTCAGCCACGCACCACTCTGTAGTCAACAGGACCTTCCTGAAGAAAGACCAGACGAGCCTTGAGCTCAAGCCTCATGAGGGTGAGAGATGATAGAATGGATAAAGATCTGAATACAAAGCTTAACTACAACTTCTCACCAGCAGAACAACACATTAACAATACAATTGTTAACTAAAGCTATTAAAAATCTCCATTTCTCCAAAGCTTGAAATAAGATATACATTTTGGATAGAAATACTTATTTCAGTTAGTTGCCTATAGGCAACTTTTTAAATTTTCATTTAAGCAAAAATTACTGAAAGTAAACCCGAAAAAAATTTAAGCTACACAGAAATATTTAGACAATAAAAACTAATAATAAAAATGATAAAAATGGTAGAATTGTAAAAAATAAATAAATGATAGAAAATGACAAATACAAAATTACTAAAACTTAATCTAAATAAAACTATATAGATATATAATAAAATAAATGCAAATATAAAATATTAGTAAATATTATAATAATATATAAATAATAATAAAATAATACTGGTATGGTGTATATTTGCAAAGACTAAAACAATTTTATTATATTTTAATTTCATTTAATTTAGTAACTCAGATTGTAATAAATAAAACATTAAAAATTAATGAATAGAATCTAGATGAAAACTAGATGGAAAAAAAAGCATTAAAAATTAATAGAATCTAGATGAAAACTAGATGGAAAAACTTACTTCTGTACATTTCAAATTTATATTTGTCATAATGTATTTAGACTTATGTAGTATGAATCTTTTGGCTCTATAGTCCAGTCTCTGGAGTGGACGCTGCAGTATGAGGACTATAAGGACCATCTGGAGGGTCATGCGGCGCTGATGCTCACTCTCTCTGGACAGGTCACTGAGACTAGACAAACTCTGGCCAAACAGTTCAGCTTCAGGCTGCGCACACCAGACCTCATCATCACTGTGAGTTCAGATGACTCGCTGTATATTGAGATTACACATGATATTATCCATCCTGGCAAAATATTGCATTAATGTGACTTGTGTTGTGTGTTATTCTCTCTCTTAGCCTGTATGTGATGCTGTGCTGGGCAGAGAGCTGAAAGTCAAAATCAAGTTCCAGAACCCACTGCCCTGTGTGCTGAAGAACGTCATATTCCGGATTGAAGGATTGGGAATGCAGCACGTCAAAACCATTCACTATGGGTAAGACATCCATTTGCAATGACTGAGTCAAACTGTTTATAGTAATACTAATACATATAACTTTTACATTTATATTTTTGAAATAACTTTTTTTTTCATACTTTCTTTCAGTGATATTGCAGACCAAGCCTCAATGTGTCTGACAGAGACAGTTGTCCCCAAACGGTCCGGCCCACAGAAGCTTCTAGCAACACTTGACTGTCCTCAGCTCACTCAGGTGCATGGAGTCGCAAACATCCTGGTCAAAGATCACTGAATAATCTTCACTTCATCTAATCAGTGCAAACATCTACTTAAAGTAGCTCAGTTTAAATGTATTGTATGAATTGCCCTTACTATGGAATTAAAAATATGGAGTGTCTATTTACATTTAGTTAAAAGTGACTGTAAAACATCAGCTCCAGTGGCGCAGATGGATACCGCTTGTCGTTGGCTTTTTGACGCGATCGACCCGGGTTCGATCCCGCCTTTTGTCAAACTTTTTTTTCCTCCCTTTTTTTTTCCTCCCCAAATTGTGATTTGCTTTGCACTTCACAGCCACCGTATAGGACCCCTTTAAAACACTGACAACTGCACTGTGGCTTCAGTATTTTAGTATGAGGGCAAAATGTGTTTGACCTAATCTACGCAATGCAAGCATGATGCTTTTCAAGATACTTATCCTAGTTAGCCTCTGCTTGTAGATCTATGCCAATCAATACATTTTGTTAAATGTCATCATTGGTGGCTCTCAGTTCACTAATTAACCAAAACCACAGCATCTAGCTGGTTATAAGACTCAAACAGCACTGAAACAGGGTGGAATAAAAGTGTTTCAAAACTAAAAACTATGAAAACACCTGTCAAAGTAGAGCAGGTACTTGCTGAGTTCATATCTTGGTTTACGCATTAACACTTCACTAACAAAAAGCCATTCATTTTATTCGACTACAGCATCTCAAACTCTCTTAAAACCATTGCATCCTTGAGCTTTATATAATGATATGACTTAAAATCTGGTACAATTTACCATACTTCAACCCAGTTCAGCGTTATCACCTATCTTTATAAATTAACATTTACACACACAGGCGTTTACGTGTTTAAAGCAGTCACATTTATTGGCCTCTTCTATGCACATTTACTAAACAGCCAGACAAGCTGGCAAACGGTTTTAGAGACATTTTACAATGGGACTTTCCACAAAGATTACTAAAAAATAAATACAAGACTCAAAAGTGTTGCACAGATCAAAAATATACAAAGGCTTATAATTAATGTAAACTTTGAAAACATTTTACATAAGAAACACCCTGGAAACGATTTAAAAAGGTATTCTATTTACAAGTTTTTACAAAAAAAAAACAACAAAAAATCATTTTAGTTGCTTGAAGACTTCAGTCTAGTACCAGAAGAGACATCACGTAACTGTGTGTGTGTGTTCAGTACAGCAAGTGTTTGTCTAACTCTGAAATCCTTTGGTACACAAATCTTTCATGTTACCATTCACCAAGAATGCTTTAACTTTAACAATATGAGATTTCAATTCATAATTGCTTTTGCTATGTGTTAACTATTCCTGTTTAAATAGCCTTAGGTACAGCAATAGACAATGTGAAAACCTTCACAAACATACTAAACATCAGTGCAAATTTTAAGGTTAGACTTTACAATGTTGGAATGGTAGCTTACAAAATCGTTTACCTCTGTCTTGGAGATGGATAGTGAAAGTCTTTGCCAACTTTTAGATTGCTTAGATTTGTAAATGTGTTTTTTCCCCTTTGTATAACATCTTTACCTAAAGCTAGTTAGTTGTTAGTGATTGAATAGTTGAGGACAGCTTAAATACTTGATCCAAAGACTAAATCTCACCAAGCAAGGTAAATTGCAAACACACCAGAAGGTCAATGGTACAAAGGAGAGAAATACCAAATACACCACTGGACACCATTATGTTTCAAAGTATCATTAACAGAGTAGCTTATGCCATTCATATTTTTTAATATTATTTATAAGTGGTTTTATCGTCTGCATTAAATTCGTCTGTCTTTTGAAACCAGTGTTTACCCACTAAAGCTTAACCTCTGAAAAGAAAAACATAAGTCCATAAATCCATAAATAAATCTGCAGTCATAAATTTATCAAAGCCCAATATTTCATAAAAGCCAGCAAGATACTAATAATCCTTTCGCTTTAGTATCAAAATGAAAAACATGAGGTGGCTCTTGGAAGCTGATTTTAAAAAAGCTGAACGATAACCAAACAGTAGTGCAAGTCCATGTTTTTTCATCTGTCCTTTGCAACCTTTTTTACAACCTCTTTCCTTTGATTTGCATCCTTTTCAGCACATCCTCATACGCACAGATTTATTTGTTGCTCCAGCAAAAGAAAGTCTTTATCAAGACACAAACCCTCTTACTGCAGACTTGCTCTGTCTCTCAGTCTGACGTGACTCTACACCTCTGTAGTCTTTCTTTGGATATTTTACTGTCTGTGCTACAAACAGCAACAGCATTGAGAAAGGAATATGTTTTCCATCAGTTTCAAGGATGATACCAAACTTTAAGTCCTTCTTGTAACTTTCCTCATTGCCCTCTCAACATTGCAAATTCAAACCCAAAGCAACACAAACTGCAAAAGCCTCCTGACCAAAACTTCCACTACACACTTCTAAAAACTTCTACTTATCCTTCTACAATATTATTCTGCCATAGTCCGTTTACTACATATAAATGTCTTTGAAAAAGATTGTCAAGAGTGTTTCAATCAGATTTTTGACAAAAAACAGCTCATGGCCTTACAAATCTGATGAGGCAAATTCCTTGATACGCTTAAAAAATGATGTACCAATATCGGCTCCTCTCAAGTTTTATTGCATGCAGTTAATTTGATCTATTAAAGTGAAATATAGAAAAGCTACAACTACTGCGTTAGAGGCATAATTTCAAGTTGGCTGTAAAACGCTTGCACAGTATTAGTCCTGCTGTGTGGGTCAGTGATCAATAACAAAAAAATCACTTCACAAAGAGCAGAATTATATATATACTTTAGAAACAATTGGTACAGTATTCACAGAATACGTTTAGTGCCTGTGTTGTAGCTGTTGTCATTTTTCTTAGATCAATTTATTGATATAGAAACAATGGGTTGATTTTTTTTTAAAGAAATTTGCTTTAAAAAGATAAATACTGAATGAAAGGGAAGAATCATGTGGTCATTAATTACAGCATTGGTTTAAAATTATTAGATGGTGCATTAAAAAGCTCAATATCTTAAAAATGCCAAATATGGACACAATTTGCCTATTACCTTCTTAAGCTAATCTCATTAAAAATACATATTTTTTTAAATTTATATTCTTTATATAGATATTTATTTTCATGTCACTTTTTCTTTTGTGCCATTTTTGTAAGATTTCTTTAAAATGTCCAGTACCAATGTTTCAGTACCAAAAGAAGTGCAAAATAGTGGTTGGCCATCAGGATATTCCAACACAGCTACATTTCTTGCCCAATAAGATCCAGTTGCGGGCTAACTCGAATGCACTTAGCCCATTTATGCTACAGCTAACTATACAAAAGGCCACTCTTTGATTGTCCCAAGCTGTCTGCCATAAACAGTTTGTGTGTAAGGTACAAGAAAGATTTTCCCTTCTTTTAATACCATCTGGACCCATTTTCACAGTTACCCCAGTACAGTACTGTTTTTATCTTTCTAGACAATGTTAAATGTGTGTGACAAAAAGCATCCGCAATTGATTCAATGTGAGTAATTACAAAGTGATGGATTTTTATCATGTAGTTTTCTCCACTCTCATTCTAAAATGAAAGGTACACAAAAAGTATTCACAAAGTGTCACAAAATAAATATGTTCATGGAAGTTATTAGAACACCACTACTGAAAATCATTATTAGAATGTTTTGTTCTTCTTGATACAAAATGGTACAGATGCTACGTATTTTGTTTACGGTCTTCTTAGTTCTTAAGAACAGAATTGAGTATGCCAAGTGCCTAGCATTATAGACCGGATGTCAAAGATTGTGTCTAAACTGATTCTAAAAGTGAAGATGCATTTTTCAGGAGGAACGGTCATCGTGTGGGCTTCCATCTGAGTTTTCTGTTTCCCCTTCTGATATGGCCTGCATGGGAGCAGTGTACAGCCGACTACGTGTACTGTAGCGGCTGCTATTCGCAGCTGGCGGCATCCTTGACCGGCCTTGTCTAGTTGAGGCAGATGTGGGAAAAGCTTTTGGAGAAAAGCCCTCAGCATACGATTTGGGAAAGGGGCTGGGCATTTGCTCGGGAGTTCCCTCTGGAAGTTGTTGTTGTAAAGGAGAGAGAGGCTCCTCAAATGGTCTAGAACCCTCCATCAGGAGCTCACCGGGCCCTTTGGGTGCAACTGGGCTCTTAAGGATCTCTGTAGCTGACATGCGATAACTGGAGTCGGACCGACTTCCCTTTTTCAACAGCAGCAATTTGAACTCTTCATTTGAGGTACTGGACTTTTTGGCACTCCTGTAAATTGGGCCCGGGGTTCTCTGAGCCCCAGTTTGAGTAGAAGGACTTGCAGGCATGTTTGGGGTGCTGGGCGAGGTTGCAGGATTAGTTGCAGAGCCATTCCCAGAAACAACCGCTAAACGGCTCCGCACTGACATTTCTTCAGAATCTTTCCTGCCCAGCATTTTTCGTTTTGACCTGAGATGGCAAAAACAAAACAAGAGACAATAAACATTTAGCGATTTTCAGTAATTTCTAAGATCATCAAAAATCTACTAGATAAACACACCTGTGAATCATGGCAAAGAGATCCTCTGTTGTGCGACTTTTACTTGGTGAAAGAAAAACACTATCATCCTCGGTTTTGGATTCGTCTGTCAGAGGGGACACAGTTGGATCGCTTGGTGTGGACTCTGAAATAGAAACTCTAAAACTCATTCCAATTCAAAATGTTTAAGCTTTACACAAAATGGAAGCTAGTTTACTTAGTAATAGAAATATTACACAAACAAACCTTTGCTGAAATAGTCCTCTGTGTCTGGTGTTGACCCTTCCTCTACAAGTTCCTGTGAGGCACTTCTGGTTGGAACACCTGATGTTATAGATTCTTCTTCAGCACTGCTGATTAGATAAGCTTGCAATGTCTCTGATCTTTGATTGACAATATCAGGCACTTGGTCAAGACCATCTGACCTCTTTCCAAGACCATTCTGACAAGGGCTTCCCACATTTGGCTCAGATTTCCATGGTTGGATTTGCTCCACTTCCAGACTACTCTG